ACCAACCAAGCCAGCAGGCCAGAGGGAGGGAAGCCGCTCCCCTATAACTGTGATCACAGAGTCAGCCAGAGCTGGAGAGGGCTCGGGGGTATAGGGGTGTGTGTCTGTCTCAAATGGGCTACACTTGGAGCAGAGAGTGGTTCAGGGCAGGGAGAGTTACTACAACTGACCCTAAAATGTTAGGGCATCACTAGTTAGTATATTCCAGAGAAATAAACACGTAAGTTCTTTATCTGAAGAATATCCGTCTACATGAAACCTTTATTTGCTCCATGTGGATAAATAGATCATCATGCAGTTACCATTTATTGTGTTTCCACTACATGTCAGTTTCACTGCTAAGCCCTTGACAGACACCTCATTTCATCTTCATAACAACCCAGTGAAGTAGACATTAGTATTATCCCATTTCCTAGATGGGAAAACTGAGGCTTAGAAAAGTTAAGTAACTTGCCCAAGATCTGTCTAATTTCAAACCCATGTGCCCAACGGCTACCACCATCCTGGCTCCCATTTACGCTGGTGGAAGATTCATTTCCTGCTGCCAGAGGCGAAACTAGAGGCGGGAGTTTTTCTTCTAAAACGTGGGTCCAGGCTTGCTCCAGAGAGTGAACTGCGTTGAGAGAAGCGCTCAGTTTTGAGCAGTGCAGGCAGCAGGTGGTGCCCCCTAGCGGTGGTAGCTAAAAAGGGCAGCGGCCGTACGACCGGAACACAGAGTTGGAGTTGCTTGGGTTCAGCCAGTTAACGGGCTGGTGACAAAGACACAGCTGTGTCCGTGGAGCAGGGAGCCTGTTCCGTCGAGGCAGGCTGCCCCAAGTCAAGGGCTAGAGCGTGTCTCCTTTCCTGGGGCCCATGGGATGTCGTCACGCTCCCTGGCCAGGTCAGCCAGGTGCTGCTCAGAGGTGAAACATGCCAGTAACGCAAATGACATCACCAAACACCAGCCATACTCTTATCATTCAAACCTGGTATTTGCACTTCAACTTCTACACGTAAAATACTGGCAGCATCTTGTTTATAACTCGAGGCATAGGATTTTGGCTAATATAAATGTCAGTCTGGTGACCAAAGGGGGATATTCTTATTATTGAATTTTTCTTGCTTACAGCAACCGGGCATCGCAGGGTGGGATTTCCTGGGTACCGCCTTGCACATAGCTTCCCAAGGCCCAGCCTCATGGGGAATTGGACAAGGATGGAGAGTGAGACATGACGTGCTCTGTAGCTCAGAGAACACAGAGAGGAGTGAGGATTCCGCTGGGGGAGGGGAGGCGGTTGGGGAAGGCATGACATCAGGTTTTTAAATCATAGGGATACCTTGGGTATTTGCCACACTCCTGCTTTGAGCCTGTTGAATAGGAATTACAAGGTGTGCTGACTCTGAGAATACATACGGAAACAGAGCTGACAAACAGAATCTCCCAAGCTTCCTCTCTGTTACCTGCAATGTTTGTTACCTGCAGTGTTCACTGTCAAGGATAAGAGACTCCCTTCCTGGGGAGGGGGTGAGTGGGTGAATTGGTGAGCGGCGCAGGTGAGGACTTAGAATGCCTGTGTTCTATTTCCAGCGCCTGTCACTGACTCATATTGTGACCTTGCTGAGGTCATGGCTCTGTTTTATTTGTCGGGGGAAAAAATTAGAGGTGGCGAAGCTTGCATTTCCCCCAAGGGATGAGAGCTCTGGAATCTGAGATACCTCCCTGCTCCCCACAAAGCCCAACCACGTCTAGTTCTGCTGATATTAATGAAAAGAATGCTTACATTTGGATCCAAGGAACTTTGGGGGACACTCGTGGAAACAAGTCGTTCCTGCCATGGCAAGATTTGTGGCCACTTTTATCTGCAATATTTCTCCAGAGACCTTTCAAATCATGTTCCCATACAAATGCTTCTCCATGTGGCCGTCACGTTGTCTGTGGAAAGGAAGAAGAAAGGTATTTTTTCCTCAGTTTCAGGATGAGGAAATCAAGGCTAGGAGTGGTATTTCTCAACAGGTTTGTTACCGAGAGCCCCTCTTAATATTTTACTACCATGCATTCCCCTGTTTTGCAAGCCGTTGTCAACTAAATACTTGCATTTATTAAGTAGAAACTCATCTTTTTCTTTTTCTTTTTTTTTTTTTTGAGACGGAGTCTCGCTCTGTCGCCCAGGCTGGAGTGCAGTGGCCGGATCTCAGCTCACTGCAAACTCCGCCTCCCGGGTTCACACCATTCTCCTGCCTCAGCCTCCCGAGTAGCTGGGACTACAGGCGCCCACCACCCCGCCCGGCTAGTTTTTTTTGGTATTTTTTAGTAGACACGGGGTTTCACCGTGTTAGCCAGGGTGGTCTCGATCTCCTGACCTCGTGATCCACCCGTCTCGGCCTCCTAAAGTGCTGGGATTACAGGCTTGAGCCACCGCGCCCGGCCATCTTTGTTTTTCTTAAAGTCACCTATGAATGCCAGTTCTGCACAAAAGGACTAGCGCTATCATTAAGTTCACTGCCAAGAATTGCAGAATTTAATGCAAGAGACCTCCTCAAAGATAAAGGCCTAATTTTCACCAGACTTTTGTAAATTTTGAAAAGACCTCCTCTTCATACTATCTGGGGACCCGGGCTGAGAAGTCCCCAGAGAGATCAAGTGGCTTGTGAAAGATTCTGTGGCTAATGGTAGGGCCAGGACAGACCCGGGGTCTTGATTCATATAGGCCAGTGCTCCAGCCAACCAGACCACTTGGCAGAGAGGGCTCGTGTATCTGTACTCAGACATACAGATACACGGCATGCACATGCAAGATGGCAGCCCAGCCAAATGCAGGTGTCGTGAAACAATGATGCTAAGGGCTCAAACCAGTAATAGGTTCCCCTCAGTACAGGAGGGAGCAGCCAAAGCCAAGCCTGAGATTGGCAGAGTGCAACAGTTCGGTTCAGGCTGCTTTTGCAGAGTTGCAAGGGTGGGAGATGTGTTTATTCTGCCACCTGCCTGCACTTTGTGTGACTCTTCTGTAATTTATGCATCATTTACGTAGGCAGAAGCATTTTCATCCACTCTGGGAGCATTCAGACCACTCCCCCGGGCACCTGCCTCTTTAAGAGCATGAGACCGGGGTGGGGAAGCTGAGCCCTTGAAGCTGGGGATGGCAACGGCAAATTGGGCACCCTGGGAGAGTGGAGACAGAGATGGAGAACTCAGGGAGGTCTGGCTTAGTGGCCTGGAATGTAAGTAGGAGAAGAGCTGCAGGACTCCAGGTGCCTCAAAGCTTCCCCCTGGGTCTCCCCCGCCTCTTCCCCAGGGCTCCTGCAAATATGCTCATCTGTTGAGTCCTTGGCTCCATCCCAGTGGATCAGTGCTTTCATCCCATGGCTCAGAGGCATAAAGTCGGCCTGTACCTTTGGAAGAAGGCCGAGGGCTTAGCTTTATGGCTTCAGAATCCGAGGCTCCACCAATCCCCAGCACGGCCAGGGGCCAGGGCAGGGTCTCTGGGGGCCCGCTGCCCAACAGCTGTTCCCTGGGTTATTTTGGTCTAGTGGGAGTCTGTCAATTCCAGGGCATTTGGACCAAAATAGCCAACAGCAGGACAATCTCTTGGTAGCTCTGTGGGGACCCCTCCCCATACAGAAGTTTCTAGAATGAGAAGGAAAGGAGTTTGGCATGGGGGTGGTGAAGAGGGAATTTTCCTGCCGTGTCGGAGGCTGATATCAGCAGTTCCTCACTGTCCTTTCATCTCAGCCTTGGCACGTTCCCAACCACCTCCCTAGGCTATCCAAGGTGGGGTTTTGAGGGGGAGAGAGGAAAAGATAATTTTTGAACTTTGTTATTGACTTCTTGGTCCTCCCTCAAAGCTGGTGAGATATATATTACCCTTTCCCATTTCACAAATGGCGCTACCAGGTTCAGAGAGGCAGAGGCACTGGTCTGAGGCCACACAGCTTGGAAGCCAGACCTGGTGACTCCAGGCCTCAGAGCCTCAGATGCTGGATCTGTCAGACCCGCAGTTGATCCTTGCGTGGATGCCAGTTCCATCCAGAAGTTCGGGGCCAGCATGAAAGTGCTGACTGGCCCTGGCCTTCCTTTAGGCCACAGCGGGGGGCCCTGGCAACCACCTGCCTCACTCACCCTCCGGCCTAAGATAGTTCAAGTGCAGGTGGGGGAGGGAAAAGGGAAGACCAGCCACTATCTCTCTCCTTGGAACCCCGCCCAAATTCAGACCAGCAGCCCCTGGCGCGGCACCCGAGAGACTGCGGGGATTGCCCCCGGAGTAGAGTCAGAGTGACCTAGGTCCCACTCCCTTTGGCGACATGGGGTGGCGTGCAGGGAGCGTGCTTTGGCACCAGGCGGGCGCGAGGGGGCGGGGCGCACGCCCGGGACACGCCTTAAGGAAACCGCTCCTGGGCTTGGTAACTGAACTTAGACGTCAAGTGCAGCCGGCCCAGTGCGCGCGGCGTCTTACTTCCCGATCTCGGAAATCAGCTGCCAGGGTGGGGCCGCGTTTTGGCTACGGCCACTCGGCCCCCGCTACCGCTCCTGCCTCTTCCAAGGGATTTTTCTAGCGGGTTAATTTCCTGTCCGGGGAAATCCTTTGGTGAGTCCCTCGCCCCTCCCTCCCCGCCCCTCCCCTCTCCGTCCCTACTGTCCGGGCTCCCCCAGTCCTTCTGC